ATATTAGCTCTCACAGAACCAATTTTAGCTATTTTAACCCTAAATTGCTGGGTGTCTATTCCTACATGAAGCGGGCCATCCAACACTTACATAATGCAGATTATATAATTTTTTTTCCGCAAATTAGGAGATTTTTAGAAGTGTATAGACGTCAGAACAATGGGATTTTTTTTCATAATACATTAATACATTTTTAACATTGCCTGTTATATTTTTGTTAACACTGTTCTATCTTTCACATAGGCTACTGTTACTTCTCATGAACTGACATCTACCTAACTTACATAAAACACCACATTGGTAACAAACCCCAGTCCCTTGCTTGTGGTCATTGCGTCAAGGTGGTGTGCACGGTCCACTGTTTTGTGGTTGAGTATGGGACTGTCAAGGCAGTTGAGATAAATATGAGGTTCCCTTATCAGTCCTAACTTCTCTTAGAACCACTCATGTTGTCTGAGCTGGCTTCATCATGTTCCTGCTCTGTATCTATTCATACAGCGGGACAAAGCCATCGCCAAACAGGAAAACACAACATTACCCACAACCACTTGCATCCAGCAATTCCGCGAATAAAAAATGTAACTCTTACATCCCTTAGGTCTCTAGTGACCCAATTAACGTCTAAGAGAAAAACGTTTTATAAAAGGGTTAAAAGGACGTTTTCTTCCTATTCGGTCTAAACTTACAACATAAGTTTTTTTTTTTTAATTGAATCTTCATTTAATCAGGCAGTCTCATTGAGATTAACATCTCTTTTCGACAGCAACACAGCTACACAATAAACAGGAATTAAAAACAATCATAAAAAAAACATCAGATAATAAAGCTTTACAATCCCTGAGGGTAATGCAAGATTCTCATTAAAGGGCGGTTTGCGGTCCAACCATTTAAAAGTTGAATCGTACCTGATACCAGTTCTGCCAACATAAGTACATGAGGGTTCTCTAAGGTTAAGTAGTTACTGGATTGTGTACTGTTGACACTAGATTTAAACGAGAGAGATGTGATGGAAGCCTCAACAGTAGAGCTTTGTAAATGAATACCATGAGACGGCTGTTTCTTCTTGACTGTAAGGAGGTTATCCAACTGTGTGGTACAGAGAACAATGATGGGTCAGAAATATGTCATTTGTAATAAATGGTAATGTACTGTGGTACACGGGGTTGAAGGACAGACGTGAAAGTTGACTGGATAATAGTTTTACAAGAAGCCCAGTTTGATTTTTGAGTGAAATGTTGAATGGGAATCTTGAATAAAAGTCTGAAGTATTTGTATGACTCAGCATGGCGGGGGAGGAGAATGTCTAGTTGGCCTGCTTGGTCTTTTCTGCATTTAAAACTGGTCTATATTTACGAAGTGATAATTGGAAAGCATCAGAAGCAGGCTGAAGACGAGTCAGGACCTGGTCTGGCGTGGAGCCTGGCACATAACATTCTATCATCAGCAAAAAATTGGATATGAAAGTATTGATTAGGATGAATCATATAATTTGAGTACAATGTGAATGGACCAAGAACAGACCCTTGTGGCAACCCAACTCTGATGGTAAAATGCTTGACTGAGTACCATCAGCAACAACAGTCTGAGTTCTCTCTGTAAGGTTCATCCACACCTGTAGACTGTAGTTTGTGGAGAAGGATTTCATGATCAACGGTATCAAATGCTTTAGAGAGGTCAATGAAGAGGGCAGCACAAAACAGTTTCTTTAATCCAGGGAGGAGACAATGCAACTTGACCAATGGTTCGGGGATTTTTGCCAAGACAGGAAGTGTAGATATTGGACGGTAGTTGTTGAGATTCTGGACATCCTGTCGGTGCAGACGTTTCTTTGTCACCGACAGGTTGATCAGTCCTCATTGTTGCCACTGGATCTAGCCTTGGATCGGGCTCTGTCTCCGTTGTGGCTGCCATTGGAGAGTTGTCGGGAGAACCAAGGACAGTATCGGTTTTTAAGTCTATGTTTTTTTTTGTTTTCTTTTTTATAACAAGCATGTCCGTCAGCAGTGAAATTAAAGGATCCCAAAACCACTGCTGAATCCGTAATAGAGAAAATATGATCTGATGTTTAGCATTTAGCTCAAAACACTCCCCAAAGAGCTGCTGCCATGGCCGTAGACCATAAACCCTGAGTTCAGTGATGCTACATGAAGGAATTACCTCCTTTAACTCATCATTGACCGACATAAAATGTTCTCTGTCAATTTCTTGCTCCACTACAAATACAACCCAATAGGAGCAGTTTATCAAGAGAAATGACTGAATGTTTTTTCCATGTTGTTGCAACCACATGGAAGGTGAGATGCTGGGCAAAGTTTTCTTTCAACTCTTCCATTGAGCTTTATTTCACATTACAGACAACACTTTCCAAGTAATTTCAGATTCAGACTCACTCAGATGAGAAATTCATACGTACTGGCTCTCAGTAAGTCTCGAGCCAAATTAATTTGTGCAAGACTGTTTACAGTTTTACGACAGGTGTGAGAATAATCACAGACACACACACACACACACTACATGTTATTGCTGCAATAAAGTGCCTCTTCAACTAATTTCTGATGAATGGATTCTCCGCTCCATTAAAAAAGAAATGGACGTGTATTTGTGGAGTGAAGAATATCTAATATCTTTATGGGCATTTTTTTCTGTTCTACGGATGATTCAGTATGAAAAGGTAAAGAGGCCCCTTCCCCCTCAAAGCAAAGCAATCTTTCAGGAAACGCACTGTCTCCCTCATTTATTTATGAGTGAGCTCTGGGTGTTCGGGAGGGGAGGCATCGCAGCCCTCTGTCTTCAGACTCCATGCAGCGCTCATCGATTTTAGCCCCTCGCTGCTGAAGTGCACCATCAATCTATACAGTAACAAGTCTTCATTTATACTTGAGAAATTCAGTTTCCAACTCAGTGGGCATGGAGTTCCTGGTGTTGTGCATGTGGTTGTGAGAGAGAGATAGAGAGAGAGAAAGAGAGGCACCAGTCTGTATTCGGCCTTGTGCCTCATGTGTCCAATGTGACTGTACGTCACCATCCTGATACAGACAACAAAACACACAACAAAAATGCACAACCATCAACAACGTTTTAAATGCATGTTTTTCAGACATTCCTGTGGATTCTTTTCTGTGACCCAGAGTGCCCCACGCTGAACCAGTTTGATGTCTGTATTTTCTCTTTTACACCCACAGTGACAACTTTATTGTGCGTGAGAGAAACCATTTGGATAGGAAAGAGTGGTTTATATGAGGCTGTGTTCTCACAAGGCCACACATTTAATGTAAAGAAACAGCCCGACTTGTTTTCCATTCATCACAACCGGGCTTTTATTTTGACAGTCCTCTACAGACACATCTTTTAAAGGATGTTGCCTTTAATCAAGACATAATAGCTCATAAAGAGCTGATAGTGTGCCATTTGGCCAACTGTAAATTCTGTCATATCTAACTCAGTTGGTATACTTGTCTGAGTAGCTCATACACATATGACTAAATGAAGTTTAGAGACCTCTCTTTGATATTTGATTAATCACCTGCTGTAATATTCTATTAGTATTCTGTCTCTGTGGGGCAAGTGAGTGACAGTGGCAACCTTTTATATCCACTGTTGTCAGATTCAATTTCTACATGGATTTACACCGTGTCAATGGTTTAGAGTGAGTTAAGAATGCCCTTATATCATCATAACATATCAATAGACTTTCCATAAACTGTGTGCTTGATAGGCCATAAACAGTTGACCGCAGTGTTATTCATAACTTTTCTCAATGAAGCATATCTTGTATTTTTTGTAATAGTCGTGAATGAACTTTAAGAATTGCTGTTATTTGTGACGCATATCTGTTTTACATTACAGGGTCTAATGTTTACTCATCCTCCATAGAGTCATGGGCCTAGAGGTGGCAGAATCCATGAAGAGGCAATAAATAAGGTCTCAACTATTAATGCAATGAGTTGAATGATTTGTGGTGAATATGTTGTAAAAAATAATGAAAAAAAATATTCATATGAATATGAATATAATCAAGGACTCAGCAGCTTTGTTCTCTTAACCTCACTACTTCATTTTTCTGTTCTGGATTATGCTGCAATCTATATGGGTGTGTCAGTCCTGTTAACCCCCTCTCTCTATTTTGAATGTTGACAGTCAACCTTATCACTGTCATTTTTATGTGATAACTGCATGGACCTCCCTAAAACTACAGAGGAAGATTCATGTGACCTTTTTCATCTTTGAACCCCTCCTTGGTAAACTCCCTGTGAGGCGAGAGATGTTGCAGTTTCACACATAGCTAACGGCTACTACAACAAACCTTTAACAAACTGCGACTATCTTGACTTGCATAATTATCTTTTAAGGTGTCAAACATAATATCATATGTTTAATCCATGGCTCAATTCAATCGGTAACACAAAAATATTTGCCTCTTGCATGGACTAAGTAGCCTACATATTTTTTGCGAAATAAAGTCTCAGGCGGGAGAGCGCAATGAATTTTGAATTTATTACCTTTGAAAAATGCCCTCAAAGAATTCAAACAGATTTATTTTGGATATAGTTTTATGAAGATTATAACAGTTTTCATTATTCAAGCTCTATGCCTGTCAGGTCCTATGTTAATGTGCTACAGTATTTGAATGGTGTAAATGCTTAATGTGGCTAGGATATGTTTACACTGACATTTTGACCAGCTGCCTCTTATTAAAGAGATAATGTGCATATCTAGAGAATTCTCTGGAACCTTCCGATGGAGTAAATGTTACATACAATTGTTTGAGTTTCAGCATCATTTTAAAAGTAGCCTACTTTCAATGAGGAATACAGCAGGGAGGGTGAAATTGCTACACCCTTCTACTCCACTCTATTTCCACCCACTAGTTCCACATTTATTTCCACTCTTCACTGCAACTACTGTATCGTTCTCGTTCCTGCAGCGCATCCCAGGATGACAGCCCCCCCCCCTCGCTTTGCTGGCACGCCCGCTTGGTATGGTCCGCTCCTCCCCTCTCCTACGTCTCACCAATGGTACTTTCTATTGGGAGAAGGTCAAATGATTCCGCATGTCTGCCCGTGTGTGTACATTCCCGAGATGGTGCACGCCTGATGAAGAAACACCCCTGATACCTGAATCGCGTGTCCGAAAATGTTTGCGACCGTCTGAAGCGGCTCCTTCGCCTCGTGTCACCTTCTGAAAGTAAGTACCGGAGTGCAGCGACGCGTTATTATTGGTCCCGAAACGACTCACCCCGGCTTATATTTTGGTACTGCCGGAGAAGTCGTACATGCCTTTATAAAGGTTTAATGTTTGCAAAGTGTTGTTTCCGTGCAGCTGGCGGAGCTCGCGAGCCCCGGATGGTTTAAAAATAGTTCCGTTAGGATGTTGCTTCTTGCGATGCTTTCAGGCGGTGCAAGTGAAATTCAGGTGAACGGGTCACTGTAATTGTTCCCGAACGCGGCTTTGGGTGCTGTTTGTGTCGTTTAATTAAAGTTCTACTACTACTACCAAGAGGCAGCTTGTGCACCGTTTATGTTTAGCATCGCCGGTAACGTGTGTGTAACGGTCTCCTCTCTAGAAAATGGACAAGGATCTTGGTAAAAGTAGGTAGGGGACTACCTACGGGAGTATTATAGGAACATTTAGAGGAGCTGGAGGAGAAAGAAAGGAGCATTAAGTGCAATAAGGTCAGATCACTATGGACTTTTTTTAGATTATTATAGGGATAATAGAAAAGCATGAGAATGCTACACATGCATACACCATCAATTCAATAATGCCATATCTACTCAGATGTGTCTGTATAAAATAACTATTTCCTGTTAAAGTGAGGTAATAATGCAGAGTGTTTACCTCCTTTACTCTACTGTGAATACCATCTGAGGTCAGTGTTAATGTGGGAGTCTGGTGGAAAGTTCACTCAGCAACTACAAAGCTCTTAGGAAGGGAGACTTAATGAAGTGAGTCAATCCAAAACTCCCCTGCCCCCCCCCCTGCAGAGAAGCATGTAGCTAAGCATATTACCACATTGCATAATGCAATAAGGTATAGCCCCATGAGCTGCCTCCAGGGCCTGTATATTGTCCGCGCTCCTTAATCTCTTATTATACATCCTAATAAAACATGTCCGCTCAGAGCGGGGTCAGCGTGTTCAGGTAAAGCAGCCGTGTTACTGTCCAGAGACATGCTATGCTCTGCTGATGCTCTGCAGATGCTCTCTGTAGTTTTGTTCAAGGCCGGCGAGATGTTCATGGTCGCGTTCAAAGCAAAGTGAGATGCAGGAGTCGGGTTATTAGGTGTCTCATATGACTTGTTGTTGGGATCACCGTGGCTTGTGTTTTTCTTGGTGGTCCATATTAGTGGGAAGACATAGGCTTTCTTCTTGATCTGTTAATTTCAACCTTTTCCTGTTATATATTCAGATGGCTTGTTTTTTCCAACTAAAAGTCCTAACCCCAAATATATTTAGTATATTGTCATTGGGGCTGGGACAATATAGGCTCTTATTGTGGATAAATGAACCTTCATTTATGCAGCGGGCCTTTATGATTAACTTATTTCAAATTTGTGTCCCATCTGTGACGCATGATATCGTGAATCGCAAATATTTTGGCCAGGATTATGGTGGTGACATGAAATGTTCATATCGTTCAATGCTTAACTATTACACGGTATGTCGAAAAGAAGCTAATCTTTACCACTTAGAAGCTGGTAGTAATTGCTTCAAAAGTGACGCAAACAATGAATCGTTGGTGCTGCGTAGTTTTCCTTCACTCGTCCAATCAAATAGTTATCTCTTAACTCTATTATTTGAAATGCTGAGCAGTTTCCCTAACCATCTTGTAGTCATCAAATCAAACTTTCGGACAAATCTTATATAATTAAAAAAAATTCACCTGTTGAGAACCTGTCATTTTGGAGAAAAGGAGCACCATCACCTCTGTTACTAGTACAAAGCATGGCAGTGACACACACACACACACGCACACACACACACACCTTGAATGATGACTCTCATGATGAAATTATGCACGGCCCTGCTGGCTTTGATTAATCCTTCACCCTGCTGTCGTCGGGCACTGCTTGCTGTTACCAATTGATTACCGCGTTGAGATTCGCGTAGATGAAACTGAACTATATTCACTTAGCAGAAATGATTATATACATGGCATTTAATAAAAAAAATAAAAATAAAAAAAAAGAAACAAATTCAATTGGTTCTATCAAAACTTTCAAGTATATCAAACTGTGCTTTCATGCTTTTGATGCTTTGTAAGCCCGAGCTGTGAGGGACGAGGCTCGATGTTTATCAAGTTGGCCTCGACGAAATGCGTTATCTCTCCGATTAATCTGTGAAAGGATCTAAAGTCATGTGGTGTTTTAACAGCTGCGACTATCTCATCTGTCTCTGCAACCTCATTAATGTGCGCGTGCATCGCTGTGAACGTTGACTGAATTGCCAACATCACATCTGACTTTTTGCCAGGGAGAATGTTTCCTGAAAACACGCGTCGTGGGTGTTAAGCTGCCGCCGTTCTAGAACTGAGGTGTTTCCTACGACGACATCAAGTACAATCTGCTGTTACATTGAGCTGATTCTTTGTGACCTCCATTGATATGAAGGTCAATTGGTGGTTTCGTATCAACCTGAGCGGTTCCATGCAAATATAAATGGTTGGAGACGGACCCCTTTTGTAACCAGCTGATACTAATCTGTGTTCAAACTGAAACTCTACCAGGAGTTGTTGCAATGAAAAATAATTTTAAAAAAAACCATTTGAGGCTGAATGATGCTGGGCAGAGCCACGCGAGACTGTTAATCTTAAATAATAAAATTCCTAAAAGAGGGTTTGTCTGCAACCAAAACCACCTTCCCTCTGATCATGGGCCAGAGTTTTGACTCTGTTCAGCACTTTGTTCAGGCTGCATAAGAACCCTGTAGTTGCTCAGTCTCCTAATGTGCTATTTCACTGGCCAAAAAAAAAAAAGTCAACTTCCCTTGATTCGTTAAATGTATCAAAATGGGCCACAGCACACTTGCCAAACTACTTGCGTATGGCGGACTCAGCAGCTTGATGCAGGGTTTGTATGCTCATGAAAAACCTGGAGAAGTCATGGAATTAAAAGAAATAGCAATCTCCAGGCCTGGAGAAGTTTTGGAAAAATAAATAAATCCATAAGGGAGCTGTATAATACAATACATAAGTTTGACTGAGAAAAATCTGTATTGGTTAAACAATCATTTTTGGGCAGATGATGAAATGTTGTTCTCTACGAGGGGAAACGTCAGACTCAGACCGGAGTTGCAGCTTGTACTTTTTGACGAGCTGTAAATGCATGCAATGCCAGGAAATTTTGGTTAATGATGTCTTAACATGGACCGTATAAGGCCTGGCTTGAGAAAGAACAGGTGAACTGTGTAGTAAAATATTCCCAACATGGGAGAGGCAGTGCTAACTAGCAATGCTAAATCAGATAAGCACCAGGCGGCTGCTGCTGCTGCACAACTCAACCCATCACCGGCTTTTTCACCCCGGTGTCAAACGTGACACCCGCTGCCAAGGGAGCACTGCCGTCTCCAGAAACAAAGCCCTAACAGCGGAGGTAACGTTACTGCAGGCGCTAAAGGTGGCTAATTCTCACTACTCCCACAAGCCGGCCTTGAAGAAGTCAGCAGTGGCGGGAAACACAGTTGCTCTCAGCAGCGACTTTGGCAGGTGCCGTATATAAATGAAATCTCAGAGGTTATCTTTAATTATCTCTAAAGAATTTCATGTGAAAATGCCCGTTACAATTTCCCAGAGTCCAAAGCGAGGTCATGAAAAGTCTTGACGATGAGAACGAGTAGTGCAATGAATGTCCTCCGATCTTGGCGAGCAGCTGCATGTGATTTTCAATTCAGTCCTGGTGCCAGCAATTAAACTGCTAGATGAGGGAATTTTATCCGGTTTCATTTTAGCCTTTTGCGAGCCCTAGTTTTTCCATAGAATGTGGCGATGTTTCATTTTTTGGAATAATAAAGATGTGTGGTGTTCCAAAAGCATTGATGGATGGAGGGAGAGAGACAACCGGAGGAAGGGAGGGAAGGGGAGTGTCCTGACTCCACAAGAAAGTAATGAGATAATGACAAGGGCGGTGACACAGCGATTTGTTGCCGTCTGTTGTGATGCGATTTCTGGAATCCAGCCTGAAAACTAATTTTGAAGCTTCCAAGAAATACGTTCTCCCATTACGTTGCTTTACGGGGTTCATATCGACCTGAGACGTTTGCAAAGATGCCCCAGAGATCCGGTGCCACGTAAATGCTCCATGTGTGGTGTGTGCTTTGCTACGAATGACTTATGTTTACATGTAGGGCCGATGATTTTACTTTGTCTCAAAAAGAAAACTGTGATCACGCAGCTAGACTGCAGGCCGCAAAGCAGCCCCCCCCGTAGCCCTCATTCTTCTCGGTATAAATACCCCGAGGAATGATTTTGTTCCACACCTCTCTCTCTCTCTCCCTCTCTGTGTAAGTCTCATCTCTTTTGTCCGGCTCCCTCCCTGTTATCCCGCCATCTAATGATGATAATCTCAAAAGAGACTTGAGGAGGATAAACGCCCTCAGCAGTCGTCTTAGAAAGAGAACAAGTGAACAATGGTGGAGGACGGGCAGTTGTGGGATGTAGCTTGCACGGTAGAGGGGCGGGCTTGGTCCGGGTCCATAACAGCTTTACCTACGTACAGTAACCAGCGCTATGACTGGTTGGAGGATTACGTAGGATTTGCCATGCTAAGCCACAGGGACCCAACCCCCCCCCCCCCCCCCCCCCCCCCCCCCCCCCCCCCCCCCTCGTCATCCTCCTTTCTTGAGCATAGCAACAAACCGTCCTCTTCTGTCTCCTCGGGCCCATGATGCAGCTTGGGGCCGGCCATGGAACCCAAATCACTGATGATATGGATGCATAAAGGATGGCGGAGGCCTTCCTTTGGGTGTAGACATTTCACGAAGTGATTTAAAACCCGTTCCCCTCGACTCGGTGGCGTGAGAGTAATGGATCCGTGCTCATTTTCTTCTGTTCCGCCGCTTTTTTTACCGCCCCCTTGCACAGGCAGTCGTTTTCTGATGAATCGGCACAATTTTACTTTTAAGTCCAAACTTATCCAAATGGCTGTCGGGATAAATTAAGGGCATGTTCCCAGTGCAATTCCACCCCCTT